CTTATGTCTATTATAATAATAACAACAAGTATGAATATATCATTAATATATAACTACAATAATATATAATGTGTGTGGATGTATAGACTAATATATATATACACACACACATATAAATAATATATGTATAAAATAGTTATACAATATACGAATATAACTTAAAATTAGGGCCGACCCTGACCACGTGCATCCCGTGTTGCCGCACAAGACATCAAAGCTTAAAGGGGCATCAAATTGTTATTTATTACTAGTTTTAGGTTTAATAATTTGGGAATTGGACAACTGAGATTTAACTACAAAAACATATCCAAGGCCTACTGAATGCACATCGTGAACTGGTTAACGCTAACATTCCAACAACTCAATCTAATAATTTATATTGTTCTTCAAAGTTCGACTATTTCGACATGAAATTCTCTTTCGACAATTAATGAATGAAATACGGTGTAAAACAATCAAGGTATCTATAAGTGATTAACTTGTGTATATTGATAATCGTTTGTTATTTCGAAATGTTTGAGATCTGTCGATAATAATTTTGTTTTTATGCTATTTAGAACTCAAAAGACGTGTCTCGGATTAGGATCCCCTACAACAAGCTATTATGATAATTGGTTATGTATAATTTTTTTTAGAATTTCCACTCCTTAAATTCATAGCAATTTGTCCCTCAAATCTGTTAACTTAGAAATAAAATGTCCGAAAGAAACGGGCCTGATTGTTCTTCTTTGTACATTCAAGATTTTATTATTATTGCCTTACTTTTTTGAAAAGGAACACCTTTGCCCCCACTGTTATGTTAATTAAACCATAGAAATTCCCACTACACTCTTGACTTTCAACGATTCACACGTGCACACATTTACACCTTTAGCAAAACACAGATTCTGGAATAAAAGGAGGTAAGGCTTTTATATAAACCCTAATTTTCCAGGTTAAACCAACCCTCTACTTTAACCAAATTACTCCAAAACCCCTGGTTTTCCAAACTTAACCCTAAATTAACTAACCATGCTTATTAAAGGAAAATAATAAAAAAAATCCAAAAATCTCCATTATATTTATTTCAAAAAGTCTATCCAAATAACCAATGGAACAAAAGACTCCTGTTCGTGGGCATTTCATTTTTTTCTTAAAAATAAAAGTAAAAGTAAAAATAAAAATAAAAATAAAAATAAAAATAAAAATAAAAATAAAAGGAATTCTACAACCCAACCACCACCAAAATGAAAGAAAAACACATTGATTTTTATCAAAATTTGTCTTACAAACTTTTTGACCATTTTTTATTAATATAATATTCTCATTATTATTATTAAATGATGCTTCTTCCTCATTTTATTTAAAATTATTAAACTTAACCCAATTAAATACATCGTCCTATGTTTATCTGTCATCCATATTAGATTATTTTATTTTTAGGTAGATTTTGATAGAAAACAAATTAATAATCCGTTTATATAATTTAAAAAAATTCAATGATGTATCATACCATTGATATGAGTTTGGGTTTCAATAAAAATAAAAGTTATGATAAGAAGGGTAAAAAAAATTCATTCTTAAATCAATCATAATTAAAGATTAAAAGTAATAAGATGCATCAGATCAATCCATATAATTTATGGGATAGGACGGGACTAAAAATGATCAAAAAATTATCTAAATCTTCAAACTCTATCTAATTCATTGGATGGTCAAGTCTTTAAAAGACTTGATCTATTTGAAACATCATATTTCCGTTAAAGAAAAATAATCTTTAAATACTTACACTACAACAAAATTGGGTTTATAGGACACCCCAATTTTTAAGCGTCCCAATAAACCGTTTTATACGATCAAAATATAAAGCGTCATATCTAAAGGTGTTTAATAAGTTTATATAACGCTTTTGGGAATCTTAACAAGTTTTTTAACATATTTTTAATACAAAATGTCGCATTAGTAACTTTATACGACACTTTTGAGAAAATAATAATCCGTTTATACAAAATGTAACCATGACAAGTGATCATGTCAAATCGCTTTCATGCCCAACATATATAATTCCTTGCATGCATGCAAGATAGATATACAATATAAACTTAGGTTACTTATATTGAAAATGATGTTTTTGTACGTTAATAATGAAAATATCATCGATATGTTTAGACGACGAGAACTTGTGTTCATAAAAAAGTACACTTATATAAATTTATTTTTTAATGGATCACTTTATTAATACTAGAACGGTACTCGTGTAATGCATCAAGACACATTTCGATTTCAATTTTTTGTTTTATTTTTTATTTATGTCGATATAATACGATTTTATGTGATTTTGAAAAAGCGATAATGTTTATTAAATTTGTAAATATCATATAAAATTTGCAAAAAATATATTAATATTAGTATCAAATTAACTATTTAAAAGTTCTTATTTGTGTATTTTTTTTAATTCAAATTTTTTATTATAATTCAATTCATGGTAATGAAGTAACTTAATTTAGATTTAATAATATATTTTTTTATAAAGATAATAAATAAGTATTATTATAGAACTCAATAATTATCCTAATTATATTTCAGATTTTTTATATTTTAAAAATGAAATGTTTATCCTCTATTTGATTATGTTTATCCGCAGTTAGTTACACGAATTCAAACATAGAGCTTTAATAAGTTGTATTTATGCACAATTTACTTGTAATTTTGAATTTTAAGTGATATGCATCAATAAATAGTAATTCATGCATAAAAAATGGTTTTTAAGAGTTTTTGTCAAATACTTTATAAATAGTATAAATAATATCATCATATATTAATATTTATTCATTTTATTAGCATTTAAGAAGAACACTTTGATTGAAAAATCAGCATCTTTGCCCCTCATGATAATCTCATGTGCTTTGATAATCGACAAACAACACAAAATTGTTTTGTGGTGGCTTTGGCTTGCTTTTGTGAAACAACCCAAAATTTTTTTATGGCACAAATAAGGATCCAAAAGTGTATTGTTCTAAATTTAAAGGATTCAATTAGGGGTGTTCAAAAAAACCGCCGGACCGCTCAAACCGGCCGAACCAAGTCAAACCGGACCGTTTTTGGCGGTTTGAGCGGTCTGGCGGTCCGGTCTGGTTTGAAAAATAGTTGAAACCGGGCGGTCTGGTCGGTTTGCGGTTTAGACTTTTTTTTGGGCGGTTTGGACCAACCCGACCGCCATATATATATATATATATATTCCCTAATTTGGTAATTCCTAACCTAATCGGCTAATCCAAACATCCAGTAATCCACCGTCCACGGTTCCACGGTATCCACTATCCATCTCTTTTTCGTTCCTATCGTCGCGACGTCGCCTAATTCATCTAAATCCCTAGTGTTTTTGACTTTTTTTAAACAATGAAAGATTTGGATTCTATTTTGACTTTGTTTTTTGGTATGTTTTACATATTTATTTGTTTGGACTTTGGACTTTGGATTGTTTAAATTGGGTTTAAACTTTATTGGCTGCTTCAATGCTTAGTAGTTGGTATACATATTACTCACATGTGAAGGACACTTATTTTTTAGTACTTTTATTGTAGAAAACAAATCTCCATGGGAGATGATTATGATGAGTGATTAATATTTATTATTCAAATTTATGATAGTACATATGACACTAGGTTTTTTGGTTTTAATGTTTAAAGCCCATTAAAGGCCCAAACCGCCTAAACCGGTCAGACCAGACCGCCTTTTCGTGGTCTGGTTTGACCGGTCTGGGCACTTGGTTTCAAACCGTTCGGTCTGAAAATTTCACAAACCGCCATTACGGTTTGGTTTGTGGTCTGAGGGCTTAAACCGCCCAAACCGGACCGCGAACACCCCTAGATTCAATGCAATGGAAGTTTTCAAGATTATAAAACTTAATACATAATATGTTTAAAAGTTGATTGTTAAAAAAAACTCGAATATCGTTCTTCGACATGTCTTTATTCAATGATGACCAGGTTATAACCTTTCTCTTTCCCCTTGCTACCACTCCCGAGTAAGTGATCACCTGGACATAAATTTTGTTGAAAAGGAGATGGGTGAGCCTAGGGCTCAGTGAATTTACGGTTTAAATTCATACACAACATTATTAAATATATTTAAAAGAAAATCATAATTTATCATGCATATGGCTTAACATCAATCACAAATCCGACAACGTTATGTGAGATGTCTACCTTACACAGCATTGTCTGACAAACTCATACATCATGTCTGCACTTACGTCTCACAAAACATGCTCGTCTTTATAGAATCATACCGTAGTACATCCCTATTGCCACACAAATACCCACAACATATAAAAAAATATAAGCGTCTTTATGGATACATAATATATTCATATTCTAATATATAGATCCATATGCATGTGGTGATAAAATCCTTAAGCACATCCAATATCCAATATTCTAATATATAGATCTATATGCATTTGAATTTGACCTATGAGCTACATGTTGGCTCATGAAACATATTCATGCTAATCCATGCACCATGCTAGGCCTTACCATGTAAAATAAAATATTAATTTTCTAGTATATTTTTAATTAAATTTTGTTTTTATAATAAAAAAAACATTTGTTAACCATAAAGATGGTACCTGATTGGTTTGAGTTTGGCTCCAAATATCAAAAGTACCAGGAGGTCTCATGTTCAAATTAAATCTAAGGAGGAATAAAAATCCTCTTATGACCATGGAGGTTCAAATACGGTGAATTCGGGCTATCTGCAAAAGAGATGGTCGCCTTGATATTAGTCGGCTCGTATAGTAAGTTGGATATCCAGGTTAATAAAAAAAACATTTATTGATTACTTTTATCATGTTTATTTTTCAAAACTTCTTGTAAAATGTCATGGAGATATTCAATCACATTAACCAATAAAAGAAATGGAAATTAATACTAAATTAAGTTTGGATCAAAACAACTCTTCTTAAAAGTTATAAACTATTAGATC